TTCTCTTTTAAAACATATAACTAAGAAGCAAAAAGAATATAAGACAATGACATGAGATAATAAATAAAGACTAAAACCACGACATTGCTTCTGAAGATATCTTAAAAATGTGAGTTATATTTATTTGATGTAATCATGTACTTGTTGGCAACCCTAGTGGCTCTAAGCATTTACAATTAAAACAAGGCAATTAATTAAAGCTATTTAAAATATCAACATAAAAATTCCTCAAAACCTGATTACTGTAAGTGGTTTTAAATTGGCTCCTAAACATTAAGGCCAGCCTCATTCCATAACAATTAATATAAACCCTAGAACAGCGGTTCTCAATCTGTGGGTCACGACCCCTTTTGGGGTCGAACGACCGTTTCACAGGGGTCACCTAAGATCATCGGAAAACACATATTTCCAATGGTCTTAGGAAATGAGACACCACTCCGCATCTGTCTCCGCACAGCCTTCTTCACCACTTGCAGAGAGAGAGACAGAGAGAGAGAGAGAGAGAGAGAGAGAGAGAGAGAGAGAGAGAGAGAGGCACTTTCGCTTCCCTTCTCTCTCTCTCAGGCGGACTTACCTCCTGCAGGGCTCCTGATTGGCCCTGCACTCGGGTGCCCCACCCCCTGGGAGAAGCGCGGCCAGGGCCTCGTGGCTTGAAGCCACCTGGGGAAGCCCCGGGATCCCTGATGGGAGCGGCCCGCTGGAGGCTCCGCTGAGCGGGGCAGCCCTCCCGCAAACCGCAGCCCAAGGGAGACCAGCCCCTGCAATCCCCAGCCAGCCCGACCACTGGACCTGCTGGCCAGGAAGGCGTGCCGGAATCCACGGTGCTGGGAAGGAAGAAGGAGATGCAGCAAAGGTAGGAGAGGACAGCTGCCTCCTTGGGCCCAGTGCTGGTGGCAGCTTCATTGCCCTCACCTTCCTCCTCCCTTTCTTCCTCTTGCTGCCCCCAAAGTGGCTCGGGCGGACACGAGGACAAGAGGGATGCCTGGGGGGGGAGCAGCTGGGCTGGACGAGGGGCTGGCAGGGGCCATGCGGCACCAGCCCCCACCGTGGCTCCATTGGATTGGCGAAGGGCGAGGCCGGGCAGCGTGGAGTCCCAGCGAGGGTGGTGGCTGGGCCGGGGGCGGCAGGGACCCCGATGATGCTGCCCTGTCGCTGCCATCGGAGCAGCTGCCTCCCGTCCTGCTCCCCCTCCCTGCCCGTTCGGCTGAGGACGTGCAGAGGCCAGGGACAATGGGGACCCCCGACGATACTGCTGTAAGAGAGAGAAAGAAAGAGAGGAAAGAGAGAGAAACAGAGGAAAAGAAAGAGGAAAGAGAGAAAGAGGGAGGAAACAGAGAAAGAGAAAGAGGAAAGAGAGAGGAAAGAGACTGCCTTCCCAGTCGCCGAGAAGGGGGAAAAAAAGAGCTGTGAGCGAGTTCCCCTTTCTGCCTCGTTGCTGAAAGCTTTTTTTTTTTTTAAAAAAAAAAACGACCGCTCATTCAGAACTCCTTGGGGCTTGTTTGCACGAGCTTGTGGCAGATCAATAAATAAAGGGGTGGGGGAGCCAAACGGTCCAAGGAGTTTGCACGCTGCTTTCATGATTTGCCACCACCACCCCCTCTCTTCCCACCCTGCTTGGGCAACGTGCTGCTGCTGCTGCTGCTACTGGTGGCTGAGCTGAGCTGCGGCGCTGAGCCGATCCCCACACCTCCTGGTTGCCCGGCCGTGCTCCGCCCCCAGCCGCCCTCCGTGCCGCGCCGGAGCCTCCCCTGTGCCACCCGGCCTGCCTCCCTTGCCGTCGGAGGGCCTCTGTGTGTGTCTCCAGACCTTACTGGACTACCATCCCCAGCAGCCCTAAAAAGCACTGTGGAAGAGTGGGAAATGCTGGGAGTTGCAGTTCATCACCATCTGGAAAAATATGACTCTCCAAAGATCAATCAATCCTTCCTTCCTTCCATCCACCCATCTCCTTCCCTTCCCCTTCAATCTCTCCTTGCTTCCTTCCTTCCTTCCTTTCCCCCTCAATCTCCTTCTCCTTCCTTTCCCCTTCAATCTTCCTTCCTTCCTTCCATCTCCATCCCTTCCCCTTCAATCTCTCTCCTTCCTTTCTTCCTTCCTTCCCCCTTCAATCTCCTTCCTTCCTTCCATCTCCATCTCCATCCCTTCCCCTTCAATCTCTCTCCTTCCTTTCCCTTCAATCTTCCTTCCTTCCATCTCCATCCCTTCCCCTTCAATCTTTCTCCTTCCTTCCTTCCTTCCTTCCTTCCTTCCTTCCTTCCTTCCTTCCTTCCTTCCTTCCTTCCTTTCCCCTTCAATCTCCTTCCTTCTCCATCTCCTTCCTTTCCCCTTCAATCTTCCTTTCTTCCTTCCATCTCCATCCCTTCCCCTTCAATCTTTCTCCTTCCTTCCTTCTTTCCTTTCCGCTTCAATCTCCTTTCTTCTCCATCTCCTTCCTTTCCCCTCCAATCTTCCTTCCTTCCTTTCCCCTTCAATCTCCTTCCTTCTCCATCTCCTTCCTTTCCCCTTCAATCTCCTTCCTTCTCCATCTCCTTCCTTTCCCCTTCAATCTTCCTTTCTTCCTTCCATCTCCATCCCTTCCCCTTCAATCTTTCTCCTTCCTTCCTTCTTTCCTTTCCGCTTCAATCTCCTTCCTTCTCCATCTCCTTCCTTTCCCCTACAATCTTCCTTCCTTCCTTTCCCCTTCAATCTCCTTCCTTCTCCATCTCCTTCCTTTCCCCTTCAATCTCCTTCCTTTCCCCTTCAATCTTCCTTCCTTCCTTCCCCTTCCCTCCCTCCCAACATTTTTGAGCAAGGAAGAGTAAGCTTCTCCAGCAAGCATTGTTATATTGTTTTTGTGATTAATCACTATGCTTTAATTATGTTCACTTCTTAACAATGAAAATACACCCTGCATATCAGATATTTACATTAATATTCATAATAGTAGCAAAATTAGAGTTATGAAGTAGCAACGAAAATAATTTTATGGTTGGGTGTCACCAAAACATGAGGAACTGTATTAAGGGGTCGCGGCATTAGAAAGATTGAGAACCAGTGATTTAGGGTTTCCTAGCAATTGGTGTTCATGGGAAAAGCTTGCCCTTTCTATACAGCAATTCTGCAATTTTGTAAATTCTGGATATACTTATTTTAGTGTCACATCTTTGAAAGTAAAAAGAAGTTATACAATTTCCTTCCTTCCTTCCTTCCTTTCTTCCTTCCTTCCCCTTCAATCTCCTTCCTTCTCCATCTCCATCCTTTCCCCTTCAATCTTCCTTCCTTCCTTCCTTCCCCTTCCTTCCCTCCCAACATTTTTGAGCAAGGAAGAGTAAGCTTCTCCAGCAAGCATTGCTATATTGTTTTTGTGATTAATCACTATGCTTTAATTATGTTCACTTCTTAACAATGAAAATACACCCTGCAGATCAGATATTTACATTAATATTCATAACAGTAGCAAAATTACAGTTATGAAGTAGCAACGAAAATAATTTTATGGTTGGGGATCACCACAACATGAGGAACTATATTAAGGGGTCGCGGCATTAGAAAGGTTGAGAACCACTGCCCTAGAACTTGTGGCAGAAACCACAGATTGTTCTAATACGTACCTTAAATTGGGTTTAGAAAGCAAGTGCTAACCAGTGCAATTGTTGAAATTCCTCTCTACTTATGTATCACATTCTGAGCCAATGGCAATTTGCAATGTTTCCAAGGGCTGTCCCACAAAATACAAATGCAGTACTTCAGCCTTGAGATTACAAATAGTCTTTTTTTCAAAAATGGAATACATCTACAAAGTAGATATGCCCTCTTGCTATTAATGCCTTTCAATGGCTTAATGCTGGAAAGAAAGACTTCCAGTATGGGAACAAAATTGTATGGGACAACAAAGAGCTGGTCCTACACAGTACTAGTATCCCTTGTCCTTTTATCTCTTTTGCCCTTAAATATTTCTAGTTACTTTTTTAAGGTTCAAAGCTGAAGAGATGGCTGGCCATTTTACTGCCGTGGTGAACAATTTTGTTAAAGAATGCTTTAGAAACTATGAAAAATTTCATTTTTATAGTATCTGTTCAATGGAAGAATAGGCATTACAATATTCTTGTTTTGCTTTCAAGATTATATTAATTTGACATTTAAATCACTATTATTCCATGTACCCAGGCTGAAATACTCTGAGATAAAGAGCAAATTATACAAGACTTTGTTCCATTATTCCATAAAATTCTGGGATAAATGGCTGTTTTTAAAACAAATCTTGGTCAAACTTTTACAGGATAGGTGTTACATTCTCAATCCTATTGACAGCCAAAATAAACCAAAGAGGATTGTCACAATGAAATCTGAACCCCTATGTTGAAACCTAATAATCTTGTATACATGCTCTTGAATCAGGTTTTTAAATTCTGAACAAATCTCTTTCCAGATCTTTGCATCATTGCTTCTTTTCAGAAAGAGTACCAGCACTCTGATTTTGCAACCTATAAAAGAACCTCCTACTAAAATTAGCCAGGTAGTTCTTTTTTAAAAAGTTCACTAATTGCGGTTAATGCCACTCTTTGCAAAAAAAGAAGGAAATGTGTGCTTTAGACTAAGGCATTTCACAGAACGAAAATCACCTAACTTTGAAATGTGAAGCCCTTCTCTTTGATAAATTCTGATCGACCCAAATCCAATGGTTGGTTTTCCGGAAATTTCTCAACTATAACGTCCTCCCTGCCTTCAAAGGTAATGGAGTTTTTCTTTTACCGTTTTCCACATTTACGAGAGGGAGCATAGCCCCCTTCCTCCCCCGCATAGGCTGAGGGCCCATCGTCCTCCTCCTTTGCCTAGGCTTCGGTCCCAGGACTGAGAGAAGAAAGCGGGGGGCGGTGCCCAGGCCCAAATCCCTTCCAAAGCGATTTGTAGCCAAGGCAAGAGGGCGAACCCGGTCCTGATCTCCGTTCTTACTCATCCCGCTGTGAAGCCCCCCTTCTCTGCGGGGTGAAGGGGGCAAATTAAGACCCGAACCTTATTACCTTCCCGGTATTTCTTGCGCAGGCGCCGATGTACGCTCTTCACCACCCCGGAGAGCTTCTCCTGCTGCAGTTTCCGCTCTTGTTCTCGGGGCTGAGGCAAAAACAGGATAGGTGTCCCGCATTCAACCTCCATGGTGTTAGAACCAGCGCTCCGCAACCCCACTCCTTCCGTTTCTCCAGAAGGGGGCGGCGGCCGCGGTTTCTATGACACGGCCGGCAGGGTAGGTTTGCGAATAGGAAGAGTGATCACTGGGTTCCCGGTGCCTGTTGGGAAATGTAGTCTTCACGCCTGAAAGCCTTTCCTTTTTGAGTCTAAGTTTCAGAGTGGACCAGCTGTACCCAAAGGTCTTATAGACCCTTTTAAGGTTAACGCCTTTCATTGCAAGGCTTAAGCTGTCGTAAGTTACGGCTCACTTCAGAGATTGTGGAAGCATCTGCTTTAAAAATTAAAGCAACGATACATCTTTTATTTCAGAAAACTGCCTTTAGATTTAATGTAAGCATCTGTGTTATCATTGTTCTTGAATTTTCCTCTGTAAAGCAAAGTTTTTTTAACCTCTGTCCCTTTTTCAGGTTTATCTTTTATTTTTTTCAATAAAAATGGTCACCCTGCTTATAATAGAAACAGCTGATAAAAGCTTATGCATTTAATACAATTTCTGCATCTTAAAAGTGCTATCAGACTGATTCTTGGTAACTCTAAACCAGTGGTGGCAAACCTTTTAGAAACCGAATGCCCAAAACCTAAAACCCACATATTTATCACAAAGTGCCAGGCTGCATCACCATTGTGGTGCCCTCAGGGGTGTGTGTTTGTGTGTGTGTGACCTACCTGGTGGGCATGGCTGGATAGTATAAATGAAAGAAAAACAATATTCCCGAAGAATATTAAGGCCTGGCTTTGTCAACTGGCACGGGGATCCAAGAGTGGCACACAACCCCAGGGGTGGTTGGTGGCTTGAGTGCACTCTCTCCAACTTTTTAACTTCATCTATTTTTGTTGAGATTTTAGGGGGTTTATAGATTTTTTACTTGTAAATGGCTGAGAGTCACTTAAACAGTGAGATGGGCAATATATAAATTTGATAAATATTCAATACTTAGCTGCTAGTGCCCACTCCCCAGAGCTGTGAGAACGTCCACTATAGTATAATATATAAGTATCATGCCTAGGTCCACTGATGTCCGAAGTTCAAGAAATGACTTTAGTTTAGAATGTAATGTGTCAAATGAAAGTCCGCTTGTGGAATAATCACAGCCATAGGTCTCAACCATATGATATACAAAAAACCTTTGGATAGCATTAAGCATGCCTGTTGACCTCAAATTTATCTCTTGCACATGCTCAGGTGGAAGCAATGTTGGTTGGCCATCAGAACTGAAGGAAATAGAAGAAAAATCGAAAACTGTAATGAATATTGTTGTGTCCTGAGCCTGCAAAGGCAGGCTCGGGACGTTGCAACAGTCCCGGGCAGTTGCAAGCTGCCCGGCACCAGACTGGCTGGCACCAGCACTCGCGCGCATGCGTGAAGTGCAAAGCGCGCCAAATGTTGCCGTTTGGCCCGGGGATTGTCTTTTAGAGGAGGAGAGAGGCTTGTGTGCCTCGGCGATGTAACAGAGCTGCTGGTCATCAATAAAGAGGCTCCTGAGAACTACCAAATGACTCCTGAAGTTATTGCCTTTCGCTGAGGACTCAACAAATATAACATTATAAGTTGCTTTACTGTCTAATGTTGTATTATAAAATAATTCACCACTGTAATTGCATACACTTTAAAACAACAATGTTCAGTTACAAATGGCTTAAATTAGCAGCCTAAATCACTGAAGAGTTCTGTCTCATTGATAGCATACGCAACGGACATAGTTTTTAAACATAGTCCTACTTCTCAATGATATGCTAACTATGAATATCAATCTGCTTTCTGATATTTCTAAGGAGGCAGATATTGGTATAGATCACGGGTTGGCAACCCGCGGCTGCAGAGCTGCATGTGGCTCTTTCAGCCGTCTCCTGCAGCTTCCTGTCCTAACCACCATGTGCAGTCTGAAAAAAAAGTAGGACTAAAAAAGTTCAACCAATCAATTCAAACTTCTCATGAAATTTGAATTGATTGGTTGAACTTCTTTGGTTTGTGGGATTTCCTTCTTCGGACTGCACGTGGTGGCAGCGGAGGACGATCTGGGAGGATTGCTGGACAGGTCTCCGTCCTCTGGAGGCAGAACCTGGGTAAGGAGCCACAGGTGGCCAGTCTCAGGGTGCCTCTTCCCTGACTGGCGGGTCTCTCCTTGCCCTGCTCAGCTGCCAACTCTGTTGGTATGGGGGTGGGGGGTTGCTGGGGGTCTCTGTAACTTCCCCTCTCTGCCCACGCTTTTCAGCCGTCTCACGGGTAGCGGATCTCTGTGGCCTCTTTCAAGAGATTCCCCCGCAGCACTTGCCTGGCCCTTTTTCCACCTGCTGTGTGCGGTCCTCTTGGCCATCCCCCTGCTGCCACCGCCGCTACTGGTCATGCTGGGCAAGGCCGGAGAGGCGGCAGTGACCAATGCCCTTTTGCCATCCTCCTGCTGCCGTCGCTGCTGCCGCTCGTGCTGGGTGAGGCCGGAGAGGCGGCGGTGACTGAGCAGCTGCGCCCCTTCACCGTCCTCCCACTGCTGCCGGTAGCGACGGTGACCAATGCCCCTTTGCCATCCTCCTGCTGCCGCCACCGCTGCCAGTCGTACCGGCCAGGGCATCTCTCGCATTTGTTGGCAATAATCCAATTAAGCATGAAAAATCAAAATTTGAAACTGACCTCAAATTCAAAAAGTAAACATATATTCAGGTCCCCCATGGGTTGGGGAACCTGAAAAACCATTTGTTTTCCGGATCCGACCTCTGCCTCAGGAGTTAGGCCAGGGCATATCTCGCATTTATTGACAAAAAGCCAATTCACCATGAAAAGTCAAAATTTGAAACTGACCTCAAATTCAAAAAGTAAACATATATTCAGGTCCCCCATGGGTTGGGGAACCTGAATAACCATTTGTTTTCCGGATCCGACCTCTCCCTTAGGAGTTAGCCTAGGGCAGGGGTAGGCAACCCAAAACACTCAAAGAGCCATTTGGACCCATTTCCCACTGAAAACAAAACACTGGGAGCCGCAAAACCCTTTTGATATCTAAAAAGAAGATAACACTGCATATATCCTTTTTTACCTTTAAGTGTGTGTGTGTGTGTGTGTGTGTGTGTGTGTAAAATAAAGGTACAAAATGATAAATGCAGTGTTATGTTCATTTTAGATGTCAAAAGGGTCTCTCTCTCTCTGTCTCTCTCTCTTTTTTTCTCTGTCTCTCTTTCTTCTCTCCACCTCCCTCTTTCCTTTCTTTCCTCTCCCTCTCTTTCTCTTTCCTCTCCCTTTCCTCTCTTTCTTTCTGTCTCTCTCTCTTTCCTCTTTCTCTCTTTCCTCTCTTTCTCTTTCCTCTCTCTCCTCTCTCTTTCTCTTTCCTCTTTCTCTTTTTCTTCTCTGTCTTTCTCTCTCTCTCATTCCTCTCTCTTTCTATTTCCTCTCTCTCTCTCCTCCTCTCTCCAGATGAGGAGAAAGAGAAAACGAAAGGCAGATGGAGTCAAACGGGTGGGGAGGGGGAGGACGGGAGGCAGCGGCTCTGGTGGCAGGGGCACGGTGGTGGCCACTGCAGCATCATTGGGGTCCCTGCCACCCTCAGCCTGGCTGTGACCCCTGATGTGTCCTTGGCCACTTTGCTGTCGTAAGAGGAGGGCGCCAAGGGGACGCTGCTCTCCTTGCAGTGCTGGTGCACCATCAGTGGCTACGCTGGCAACGGGGAGTGCCACTGCAGGGATGAGGAGGGGTCCTGACCCACCACCGGCCCTATCACCCTCGCAGCCACACCCCTTCGCTGTCCTCCCGCTGCTGCCGGTCGCGAGAACTTGTTGACGCCTGGCTGGAGCACACATTTAACTGCCACTGCATGATGCTCACCTGGCTGCCGCGGGGCTCTCTGTCGCCTGGCCCCACCTCAGCCCCATCGATGGCAACTTTCTCGGCTGCTTTTGGGGAGCCCTCGGTGCTGCAGGAGAAGCAGACCTTGGGCTGTGAGGGCGACGGGGCCAGTGGTGTGTCGGGACCCCCCTCATCCCCACAGCAGCACTCCCCATTGCCAGCGCAGCCTCCCAACATATATCCTTTTTTACCTTTATTTTACACACACACACACACACACACACACATTATTAAAGGTAAAAAAGGATATATGCAGTGTTATCTTCATTTTAGATATCAAAAGAGGTTTGCGGCACCCAGTGTTTTGTTTTCGGTGGGAAACGGGTCCAAGTGGCTCTTTGAGTGTTTTGGGTTGCCTACCCCTGCCCTAGGCTAACTCCTGAGGGAGAGGTCGGATCCGGAAAACAAATGGTTATTCAGGTTCCCCAACCCGTGGGGAACCTGAATATATGTATACTTTTTGAATTTGAGGTCAGTTTCAAATTTTGACTTTTCATGGTGAATTGGCTTTTTGCCAACAAATGTGAGAGAACGCCCTGGCCTAACCCCTGAGCCAGAGGTCGGATCCGGAAAACAAACGGTTTTTCGGGTTCCCCAACCCAATGGGAACCTGAATATATGTATACTTTTTGAATTTGAGGTCAGTTTCAAATTTTGACTTTTCATGCTTAATTGGCTTTTTGCCAACAAATGCAAGAGACACCCTGGCCTAACTCCTAAGGGAGAGGTTGGATCTGGAAAACAAATGGTTTTTCGAGTTCCCCAACCTGAGGGGAATCTGAATATATGTTTACTTTTCGAATTTGAGGTCAGTTTCAAATTTTGACTTTTCATGCTTAATTTGATTATTGCCAACAAATGTGAGATACGCCCTAGGCCACGGGTCGGCAACCCATGGCTCTAGAGCTGCATGCAGCTCCTGTGGCTCCCTGTCCTCAGCCACCATGTGCAGTCTGAAAAAAAAGTGGGACTAAAAAAGTTCAACCAATCAATTCAAACTTCTCATGAAATTTGAATTGATTGGTTGAACTTCTTTGGTTTGTGGGATTTCCTTCTTCGGACTGCACATGGTGGCAGCGGAGGAAGATCTGGGAGGATTGTTGGACAGGTCTCTGTCCTCCGGAGGCAGAACC